ATGATAATTATAAAGATATAATTTTCATATTCATTGCAATGATACCAACAATTACATCTATTCCATAATTTCCTACTAATAATGACAATAGAAATAATTAATATCATTATTATTGTTATCATTATTTCTAAATTTATCCTATAGTTATTATCTTTATAAAGATAGTTATAATGATGAAAATGACAATAATAATTAGCATAATAACTGCAATAATGATAATAAGAATGATAATTATGATTATAATGACTATAATGATAATAATTATAAAAATATTTACAATAATGATAATAATGATGATAATAAATTATTATAGAGTACCATTTATAATGAAATAAAGGCTAAAAGTAATAAAATCCAGAATTTAAAAAAGGCAAATCTAGCGAGAGAAACGTCGAAAAACGCCGTTTTTCGCTTTTAGATGATAATTATGATGATCTTAACATTAGTTCAGGTAAATATGATGATTTTCATTATAATGCCTTTATTATTGACAATAATGATGATAATTATGATGATAATGACATAATAATGATAATAATAAGAAAAGATAATTACAATGATAATTTTCACATTTACTGTAAATAGTTAACTAATAATGACAATAGAAATAATAATATCATTATTATTGTTTCAATAATTATCATTATTGTAATATTTTTTCTGAAATTATCATTATTGTTATTATCATTATAAATATGACCTTAATAATTAGCATAATAGTTATTATAATTGCAATAATGATAATTATGACGATAATGACTATAATGATAATAATCATAAAAATAATGACAATGATGATAATGATAATTATAGAGTCCATTTATAATGAAATAAAGGCTAAAAGTAATAAAATCCAGTTTGTCGAAAAACGGCAAAATCTGGTCGAATAACCGGATTTTAAATTATAATATCATGTTTTGTAATCATTCAGTGAAATTATAATGATTTCCATGATATTAATTTTGAGAATAATGATGATAATTATGATAATAATGAATAATGATAATAATAAAATGATAATTATAGTGATATTTTTGTTAATAATTGAAACAATAGCATTAATTACCAATATTCTAATAATTTTCCTACTAATAATGACAATAGAAATAATAATAATAATTCTATTATTGTTACTATAGTTTTTATTATTGTTATTATGATTATCATTATTGTAATTATTTTTGCTAAAATCATTATTATCATTATAGATATAGTTATAATGATGAAAATTAGGATAATATTTTTTATAACTACAATAATGATATCATTAATGATAATAATGACGATAATTACTATAATGATAATAATTAATTATATATAATGACAATAATAGATAAATGATAATTATTATGCCCATTTATAATGAAAAAGCTAAAAGTAATAAAATCCCAAAAGTCGAGAAAAATGGCAAAATCTAGCGAATTATCACCTTTTTGAAAGAATGGTCAACCATTCTATATAATCATGTTTATGTTTTTAGAATCAATTCCGTTCCTTGTATATGATTTCGATGATAATCCTTTAATTTTGAGAATAATGATGATATTATGATAATAATGGCGATAAATGATAATAGTACTATAATGATAATTTTAAATGATAATTTCAGAATAATTGAAATAATTATATAACTATCAGATATTTTAATGATTTTCCTGCTAATAATGCCAATAGAAATGATAATAATCTACTATCTGTTATTATCATTTTTATTATTATCCATTATAAGATTTCATTATTGTTATTATTATGTAAAATATCATATTGATATCATTATAAATATAGTTATAATTATATGATGAAATATGGCTCATAATTGGGATTCATAATGATTATTAGACTGCAATAATGATAATATTACTATATGATAATAATCATTTAAAATGACATAATGATAATAGTTATGATATTGGTAATGCATTATGAAAAATTTATAATGAAAAAGGAACAAAAGTTGAAAAAACAGCAAATCTAGCGGAATACCAGCCTTTGAGAGAATTGTTGAAAAAAAACGTTATTTAGCAATAATTTCAGTGAATATAATTTTCTGATAATCCCATTCATTTTGAAAATAATTTATGATAATATAGATAATATGACGATAATAATGATTATAATATAAAATGACGATTATAATAATAGTTATTGATAATAATTGAAATAATAGCGCAATAATACAATATTCGCAATAATTTCCACTACAATACATGAGCAATAGAAATAATAATGATAAATTATAATTATATTGTTATATAATTNAGTGCTTAGGACCGAATCCGTATTCAACACTGTCACAACAGAATAACTAAGAAACACACGGGCTGACAAAAGGCACATAAAAAGGAGCATCCATATTATACATTTATTTCGCACAAAACTTTCAAAAAAGAATAAATACACAGGACAACACACCATACACTTACTTGAAAACACAGAGGCAACTCGCCATAGCCCGAGAAGCACCAGTCAGCCAGCTAAAATCCAACGGTCTGTCACCACACACGAACAAAAGCCTCCCTCCCTAGACCGATCTGACTTGACCTTATATACAGGTGGCTCCCGTGCTTACTGAGATTTTACCCAATATGCAATTAACCTTTATTTGTAAAATAGTGTATGGTGTGTCTAAAATAAATTAAGAAATACATAAAATAAAAAGAACGATAAAACTATACAAAAATGGGCACATAAAATGGACAAAAGATAGGAAAGTACGAAAAAGTGAAAGAAGGGATCCGTGAGAGAAAGCGGAGAAACACGAAGGGGAAAACGAAAGAAAAACAAAGCTAAGGTGAATTAGTCGAAGACGAAAAGGCAAGAATAAAACAAGCTAAGTATAGAATATAAGGTAAGTAGTTTATAAGTAGTGTTGTGTATAGTAGTAGTATAGATGTAGAGGTAGATCACGACCAGTGGGAAAGGTAAGTCAAAGGAATATAAAAACACAGGCTTAGTCTTATTTTTAAAAAGGCGCAGACACACAGGAAACAGCAAAGCCACGTCATCTTGCAGGGCGGAGGAGTCCGTAGATTATCTAGAGCGATTCATAACGTCAGGGGAACAGGGGACCCGAAAGCCTACGGGATGACCCGCCTACAGCCAGGGGAAATTCACTACAACTCCCTCCCCGCCTGACTTCGGACGACTCCCTCTCGGCCTCGACGCACACAGAACGGCCACTGCCTGCTTCTGAGGACCCTAGCGTGCGGCCCGGCCCAGCCACTCTCGACTGAGCAGACAGGGTCATGCAGCATAAGAGGGGCAAGCAGAGAGGTGACGAGAGGAGTCGGTCGAAGGCCACACCACCGGATCCACGGGTCGGAAGAACCAAGCAGTTCACGGTTACCACGACCGTCCACGACCCTCCGGAGGAACGGCTCTACACTGCGGATGGACTCAAAAGGACCGTAAAGCACAAGGAACATCACACCTGCAAGAGACTGGGACTAGTGTATGGCATTTACTGTGTTCATCCTGTATAAAAGTAAAGTCGTGAAAGGAATGCCACTGATAAATCTATATATACGGATGCACGACCAGACAGGAAGAAGGGCAACGAAGGATGAAAGCGAAGGAGGCAAAGGACGACGACCCAGCGAGCAATCACACCCAGGCTGAAAGAATAGGAAAGTGACAGAATAAACCGAAAAAATGAAATAGGAACAATGGGCCCAAAACATGAAATAAAACATAAGATAAAATGAAACTTAAAATCAAACAAAAATAAATACAAAACTTATAAGAAATACAAAAGGAACTTAAGAACAAACTTAAAATCAAGCTTACAATTAATGGACCTTAAAAATACAACTTATACCTAAAAACTTAAAAGTAAGCTTAAAAGCTACAAACTTAAGAATTATACAGAACTAAATTACATAAAAATCAAGCACAAACTTAAGAAGCAAATATATAAACTTAAGATTAAACATAAAAAAGACCTCAAAGAAGAAGACCAACTACATGTTGGAGAGGTGTAAATACATTACCATGAATACACTGCCATGAAATACAGAACCTATCATCTCGACTTGGGCTGGATGAATACAATTCAGATTAATACTCGACATATACAATGTTAATGCACAATTTATGTCATTCATCACTGCTGATACATTAATTTTCACGCACTTATTCATTTTCAGAGCATTTTCTATTACGACACTGAACACATAACACAACACAAAACTCTCAGTGGCAAGCCTTCGAGCAAAAACAAAAAGGGAGACCAATCTAGGCTAACCATGGTCAGGAGGTCGGCAAAAGGAAGCCAAGAGAGCAACTGCAGGATCATCCTCCGGGAGCCCGTCTAAAGGAGGAGGATCGTCCACGTCCCCATCCTCATCTAGCTCATCCTCATCTGGCAAGTGGAGTTCATCATTCGTCCTGTAAGGCCTCAGCTGATTGAGGTGGTAAATCTTCTCCTTGTAAGGAGGAGAGAGAACCCTAACCAACCGTGTTACAGGACCGGTCTTCTTGCAAATACGAGCCGGGCCAAACCGCCGGGGACCAAGAGCTCCACGCCGTCCTGCTCCAGCCATGCGAGGAAGGTCTTTAAAGAGGACTAAATCACCAACCTCAGCAGCAAAGGTGGACTTACGGGTTCGCCGATTATAATCCCGGGCCCATCCTTCTCTGGCCTGCACTGATGTCTCCACGGCAATCTCTCTAGCTCTCCTCAACCTAGCAGCAAAGGACTGTGCTGCCTCATGATCAGTCTCCTCATAATTGCTATTGCCAACAGGATAGGTGCCAATATGTCCAGTCAGCAAGTAGAGAGGTTGATCACCTACTGAGTGGTGTACCACACTGTTCATGGCCAAACGAACGTATGGCAAAAGTTCATCCCATTCTAAGGAAGAAGCCTCCAGAAGAGTTGCCAAGGCGTTTTTCACCACCCGATTGGTGCGTTCAATCATCCCGTGAGTTTGGGGATGGAAAGCAGTAGTGAAAATAGTTTGCACACTGGCTAACTCACACACCCTCTTAAATAACTTGTTTTAAAGTTCTCGGCTATTGTCTGTTTGCAATAAACGAGGTGGCCCAAACACAGTCACGAACTGATTAATAAAAGCATCAGCCACAGTCTCTGCATCCTTGGATGGCAGAGGTATCAACTGAATGCATCGGGTGAGTTGGTCTATGAAAGCCAATACATATCTATTGCCTTGGGAGGTCACTTCCAGTTCCATTAGGTCTGCAGATACCCTTTCCAGTGGGTAACTGGCCTGTGGTGCAGCAGCAAGAGGAGCACGATAAGCCATACCCTTACGTTTTTGGCAAGATCGACATGTACCAACATATTCTTTGACGGCAGCCAACATGTTAGGGAAGTAAAAGTAATCCCTGAGCTTACAATATGTCCTGTAAACCCCAGGGTGACCTGCTGTTGCACTTGAATGAGCTAAATGCATGGCAGAACCCCTAAGTATCTTTGGCACTACTAACTGATGGAGTACTCGATCTGGGAGGTGACGAACATGGTATAAAACTCCATCTCGAAGCTCAAACTCTTCAAGAGTTAGAGGAAGGCGACGACGCGGCAAATTCCGTTCCTCTAAATATTCGATCTTTCCACAGGGATCCTCAAGTTGGTGACGACGCGCATCGTCTGGATCACGATTTGTTTCTGTTGCAGCCACTGCACGACTCAACTGGTCTGGACATGCTGTCCCTTGTTGTATCTTAATACATAGTTATAAAAACTAAGTCGTCGACCGCCGAGTCATTAAAACTCTTTTTCTTACTAACAAATAGGTAAGGCTATGTGTGTAAATGTAGAAGCGGCGCCCATACACATAGCAGAAGGCTCGTACCCCTTCCACTACTGCAAGTGCTTCACAATCAATTGCAGGATAACGAGTCTCGGCATCCTAAGTTTGCAAGAAGCAACAGGCTGCAAGCGACCCTCATCATCACTTTGCATTAAGCAAGCGCCGATTGCAACACCCGACGCATCGGTGTGGATCTCAAAGGACCTGTCAAAATCGGGCTTACTAAGAACTGGGGCTGAGATAAGTGCCGTCTTCAAGCTCTGGAAAGCAATTTCCTTCAGCTGACCCCAGATAAACTTGGTGTCCTTACGTGTCAAGCTCGTAAGTGGTGCTGCAATATTTGAATATTGTTTGATATGCTTCCTGAAGAAGCCTGTGCAACCGAGAAAGCGGCGCACTTCCTTTTGGTTCCTAGGCTGAGGCATCTTTTGAATGGCAGCCACCTTATCTGGGTCAGGTCCCACACCCTCATCTAATCTCAGATGGTCATCAAGTTGTTGTTGTGCACCACCACATCATCTAAATAGGCAATGGTATGCCTGCCTAAAACAGATGAAAGCACACAGTTAACAGCCCGTTGAAATGTTGAAGGGGCAGTTGCTAACCCAAATGGCAACTTTCTGAACTGAAAAAGTCTATGCCCATCTGAGAATGCAGTCTTCGGCCTATCATCTGGACTGACATCCACTGTCCAGTAGGCACTGCGAGCATCAAGAGCAGTAAACCACATGGTTCCATGGAGCTGATCAATGAGCTCATCAATGCGTGGCATTGGATAAGCATCTTGCTCTGTAATGCTGTTGAGACCTCTGTAGTCAATGCAGAAACGGGTGGACCCATCCTTCTTTCTGACGAGCACAATTGGGGAATGCCAAGGAAAGGTGGAATGCTCGATAACCCCTTGTGAGAGCAATAGTGTCACATTCCTCCCGAATGAACTTTTTAGAGGCTTCTGGGAGACGCCACTGCCTCACACATAGTGGACCTTCGCCCTCTTTTGTTTTAATAGTATGGGATATACCAGGTACCGTCCCTAATTTAGCTTGTGCATCAAATAATGCCACATACTTACAAGTACCTGCCTGAGCTGCCGCTGTTGCTCAAGGGTGAGATGGCCCAGATCAATCTCACTTAAAAGGTCACCAAGCTCAGCATCTTTCAGCTGAACATCTTCAGGGCAGTCGGTGCTGGAACCCGACTGGTCAACCCCAAGCAGTTTGTGTCACAACACTGCAAGGTGGGAGATCCACATCTGACAGAATGATGTAATCATCTGCACTCCCAAAATCTCCAACAGCATCAAAGCTATCAAAGTCATCGTCAATAATCCCTCACCAAGTTCAAAATCATTGTCATTGCCCATGAAAAGCTCAGTCCCTAAAGCTTGCTCCTCTGCAGCATACTGGGAAGAAGTCCCAGGAATGGCAGCTTTTCTTATCTTGGCACTCTTACTATTAATCATTTTGGTTTTATTTGGCACTGCACTATGAGAAACAACACCCTTGACACTCACATTAGCACTTTCACGATTAATACCACCAACACACTGCACTTTTCACGGTATCACAAACACTAACATCACTTTCATTTTGCTTATCATCAACACCTACATCTGTGCTTCCAGCCTCAAGTGAGAAAACTTGTACAATGTTTTCAACTACAGCTAACCTATGTCCATTTCTTAATTTTACAGGACGTGCAGTCTCATTTACTGCCCAGACTTTAAGTCGGCCATCTTTCACCTCTTGTAGAGACCTAGGTACCACCAAGGGACACTCAATACCAGAAACCATAAGTTCCTTGGCGGCTTGCATACACCTAGGAACGCTACACTTGACAAAACGTCCACTACGAGGCGGTACAAAAGCAGGTACAGCAACATGTGCAACCTGTGAAGCAGGTAGCGACCTTGGTTGCTTGCAATGTACCTCAACAAGAACAACCTGTATATGTGACTGAAAACTTCTGACCTTGCAAGACCAAAACATCCACCTTACTATGGTCAGAAAAACACTCAAGCCTGAAGTTAAAACGTCTGAGGAGATCCATGCCCAAAAGAATATCTCCAGGAAAGGAAATAACATCCAAGATACATACTTTATGTTTAACACAAACTCGATCATTCACACGAAAACTCACCAAACTTTCACCCAAAACTGGAATAGTCTTACCAGAAACTCCTTTCACTCTTTTAAAAGATTCATTCTCACATCTTATTCCCATCTTTCCTGCAGCTATCCCCTTGACAATGGTCACCTCAGACCCCGTGTCAACAAAACACTGCGTTGTGAAGCCATTAATCATTAAAGAAACCATAGGTCGACCTGCAGGTTTCCGAAAAAACTCGTTCTCGCAATCAGTGGTTGACAGCACCTCTTTGCTCGCCAGTGACGGTGTCGCTGCCACGCCCGACCTGGCGCGATACAAAGGGACACTGCCGTGCAAAGTGACCTTGCTCACCACATGCAAAGCACTTCCTCCTTTCACTCAACACACGACACTCTGAACTATCATGCTCGTGGTTCTTGTGGTAGCGACAATACTTTCTAGGAGGATCTACCTCGGCTGCTGCAAGAACCCGTGGTCGGAAAGGCGACCTAGTAGGAGAGCTTACCCCAGGACCTTCACTTTCCCTGAGACTCCAAACTCTCTGGGGTCTCAACAAGATTACAAAGCTCTGCCTCTTCCTTCACCACAACTGCTTCCCTAATCCATCGAGGAAGACCTTGCAAAAAGACCCTTCTGATGAGGTCATCTGGGTCACCAATAGCACGAGGATAATCCCGTAATCCCTGGTACACCATACCTTCCAATGTCAAATAAAAATCCATAGGTGCTTGCCCAGGTTGCAGTTTTTGACTCTGAAGCACACGATAAAAATCAGATGAAGTGCCAGTCCCCCTGAACTTCTGCCTAAGTTTATCTTTAAATTCTACCCAGGAGACAATACTATCAAAGAGGGGGGAATTTACTATAAGTTCTGCTGCACCCTTACATGAAGCCTTTGCAGCTTTAATAAAGGCTGCATCGGTCTGAGGTCGAGTGTGGTTCTCGACACTCCGGAGCCAGCTCTCGACCTCTTGATTACGCTTAAGGGGATGGGCAGAGCTAACCTCTGCCTTAAACTGAGGAATTGGATCCCTCTGCACCACAAACTCAACTGGGGGAGCTTCCCTGACAGAAACGGGTGTTGAAGGACGAGATATACGGGCTTCCAACTCGCTATTCTGGAAGCGCAGATTCTGAACCTCTAGGGTGAGCTGAGAGATCTTTTGGAAAAGCTCTTCCATCACTGAAATCTCTGGAAGTCTCTCGATGCCTCGGTCATCCGAATCTGGCAGGAGAGTTTGCCCTGAAGGGGAGTTCCTTCCTACCGAAGGAGCAGAAGCCGCCTCTTGGCTCGTCGAAGGGCGAGAGGGGCTGTTGTTACGACTTCCGCCGTTCCTTCGACCCATGGCTCGTGTCCGAATTGTGAAAATGTTGACTTACAATTATGGTCAGAACAGCTTCAACTGCAAGGCTGAACAAGACACCTAAAACACCCTCATTAAGTCTACAAGAGCACTGTGCTACCGAATTACTCACAAGAACATACACAAGATATTCACATGCCTACAAGGGCAATCACACGGTCTCAAAACAAATTCACAAGCAAACATCAGATGCACGCTAATCTCCCTCGTAAAACACTGACACAAACGCAGGTATAAACCAGCCAAGCGCACATCTATAAAAACACTCACTTAAAATCTCACTAAGACACGCAGAATTCTCATCGACGCACTTAAAACACTTGCGCATAAGAACTAAAAACACAATCAGAAACATTCGCTTACAAAAATCCCTAAAACAAGCATAAAACACTTGCGCATAAAAGCTCATCAAGAAAAACATCTAAAACATCCATGCAGAATCATAGAAAGATCCGCTTAAAAGATCTCTTTATAACAGATAAAACACTTGCACGTAAGAGTTCACCAAAACAAACATCCGCTTAAGAACACTACAGACAGCAAAAGACTTAAAAGGGGAGGTTAAAACATAAAACACTTAAAACACGGGCACTAAAACAGGCATAAAACACTCGCTTAAAGCTTAAAAACCATAAAACAAAAGGCATAAAACACTCATCAAAACACTTAAAAACACGTATCAAAAACTCACTAAAATAAACATCCATAAACCTTCAGAGGCTTACTGAAATATACACGTCAAAATCTTGCAAACTTTCATTCAAAACCCATATATTATGAAAACACGTAAACTCGCGTGACCACGTACGAGTACCTCACAAATACTTAAACATTCACTCCCGCGCAAAAGACAACCAGCGAATTCCTTAACAATCATGAAATCACACACAGGTCATTCAGTCTACCCGCCAGAAAGTCAAAGCTCGCATCAAAATACCGAAGATAAAACACCAGAAAAACACACAAAAACAAGACCATTTAACGCCGAAACAAACAGCCGTAAAACACCGATACATAAAACTAGAGAAAACCACTAAGCCAAATCAAGTAAAAACCAAAAGAGAGGTAAAATAAATCAAAGATAAAACAGAACTAAAACAGAAAAACATTCTATAAAAGAAACCACAGAAACATAAAATGAATAAAAATACCATGGGTGGACAGACCGACTACGTGACTACGGGTCAAGAACTGCGCGAAGACGTAGGAGCGTCTTGGCCATAACAAGCAGTTACACCGTCTTGGAGTCATTGAATGAATTAACAAAACAAACAAAACGCCATTGCCCGCCGCTAGCCACCAAAATATATGTTACGCTGTAGTGGATATTTATAAACTCCGTAGAGTTAAAGATGTTGATTTGGTAGCGTGTTATCCAACTACAGGTAATCTCCATGTGGGTCTGGCGTTAATTAGTAATGACTCTCAGGTGAGTTTAAGGGTGATTCCGTAGTCACGATAAAAAACAATAAGACCACTGGCTGACAAAAAGGCAACATAAAAAGGAGCATCCATATTATACATTTATTTCGCACAAAACTTTCAAAAAGAACAAATACACAGGACAACACACCATACACTTACTTGAAAAACACAGAGGCAACCCGCCATAGCCCGAGAAGCACCAGTCAGCCAGCTAAAATCCAACGGTCTGTCACCACACACGAACAAAAGCCTCTCTCCTAGACCGATCTGGCTTGACCTTATATACAGGTGGCTCCCGTGCTTACTGAGATTTTACCCATAATGCAATTAACCTTTATTTGTAAAATAGTGTATGGTGTGTCTAAAATAATTAAGAAATACATAAAATAAAAAGAACGATAAAACTATACAAAAATGGGCACATAAAATGGACAAAAGATAGGAAAGTACGAAAAAGTGAAAGAAGGGATCCGTGAGAGAAAGCGGAGAAACACGAAGGGAAAAACGAAAGAAAAACAAAGCTAAGG